TTTCATTTGAATGGTAATAGCTCTACAGTTTCTTATTATTCTAACTGAATTAATTGAAACAAAAGTAAGAATTTTATGTGAAAGATGACACATTTAATAAGGTTAGGGGGAAAAAACGACCATTTATAAACAGTGGGAAATTACATCTGTTTTGTTACATACAGCAACTCATTTTAAGTTAACTATTTCTCCCTCTTTCCAGTCACAGAGCACTTTATTTTGAGAGTTGTTTAAGTGAGAGAAAATCTGTAACTTAGTCCATATTGAGGGAATTGTAATGCTTAATAATCTCTTTTATTATGTAAATACTTTTTGCATTGCAATTTGCATAGATTTTTGTTTGTATAGGCTGTCAATTATAGTTATTAGAAAGAAAATCGGAATCTGCAAAAATCGGTATCGGCAGGTCACAAATCGGAAATCAGAATTGGCCAAGAAAATTGCAATCGTTGCATCCCTAATTAAGTCCAGTGATTTTGGGCTTTTTGGGGACCGGAATGATGGTGGAGCGTTTGAAGCAGCAGGGAACTTCACAAAGCTCCAGATATCTGTTGAAGGTCTGTGTGAAGATGGGGGCCAGTTGGTCAGCGCAGACTTTTAAACAGGCAGGTGAAACACCATCTGGGCCTGAAGCTTTCTTAGATTTCTGCTTCCTGAAGACTCGGTTCACATCCTCTACACAGACCTTAAATGCAGGTTGAATGGTGGGGGAGGGAGGGAGGGGGGTTGCAGAGTGGGGTAGGTGAATGTGTGAAGTGTAGATTAGAGCGGGTGCTGGGTGTCAGTCAGGCCTTTTCAAATCGACAGTAAAACACATTCAGGCTACGTCCACACGAAGCCAGAGCTTTCCCTATACAATCTTTTTTTTCCCTCGTCTCAAGAAATATCTGCGTCCACACGAAACCGACACAAAACAGTGTAGTATACATGCCAGACTAGCATGTGGCGCTGTAATTCTGCCACAGAGATACACTAAAAATAGAGAAGTAGTCTTGGACTATGCGCATAAACCTTGCGCACGGTATACAAACGAACATGGAACAATACATTTATTATTCTGTGTTAATGTTTGCTAATAAAAAGACAACCGTTCAGTGTTTGTTCATGTTTTTGTTGCTGTTACGTGACGTAGCTGTACCTATACAATACAAAATGTATGCGTATACAGCTAAACGCGTCTCCGTGTGCACGGGGCCACAGATCGTCAGCCAGTTGTTGATTCTCTACAGACTGTGGGGATGGTGTCTTGTACAAGGTGATGTTCCTCAGACCAGTCCATACTGACGCCGAATCGTTGGCTGAAAACTGTTTTCTCAGCTTTTCAGAGTAGTTTTTTTAGTCACTCTGATCTCCTTTTTTTAGTCGGTTCCTGGCCTGGTTATACAAGATTGTATCCCCACTTCTGTAAGCATCCTGTTTGGCGTAACGAAGATGTTTGAGTTTCCAAGTAAACCATTATTGAATGATAAAAATGACCTGGTGGGGATGCACATATCCTCACAGTAACTGATATATGAAGTTACAGTCTCTGTGAGCTCGTCCAGATCAGTGGCTGCAGATTCAAAAACCCTCCCATCATTGAGGTCGAAACAGGCTTGTAAATCCCACTCTGCTTCATTAGTCCATCTTTTTACAGTCCTTAATACAGGTTTAGCTGATTTCAGTTTCTGCTTGTAGGTTGGTATAAGATGAACAAAACAGTGATCAGAGAGCCCCAAAGCTGCCCAAGGGACAGAGTGATAAGCATCCTTTATTGTGGTGTAACAGTGTTCCAATATATTACTGTCTCTGGTGGGACATGTAATGTGCTGCTTGTATTTTGACAGTTCATGGGAGAGATTTGATTTGTTAAAATCTCCAAGAATGATTAAAATAGAGCCTGGGTACCCTTGCTCCATTTGAGTTATTTGTTCGGCCAGCTGTTGCATTGTGGTAATGCATCGCACGCATCCGGGGGAACGTACACTTTCACGAGAATGAAAGAGGAAAACTCCCGCCGTGAGTAGAAAGGTTTACAGTTTATGAAGAATGCCTCTAAGTTAGGACAGCATAACTTTTTCAGCGTTGTTACATCTGAACACCAACTTGCATTGATGTAGAAACAAAATTCACCACTTCTCTCGCAAGATGAATGCTTGGGAGCGCAGTCCGAAAGCCGCGCGCGCGGAGCTTCACTAGGGCGCCGGCGCGTTTCCCTCTTCTGCGTCTGCACACGCGTTTGAACAACACTGTACCTCCGACTAGAATGTCTAACAAAACGTCCGAATAATCAAAAACCGGAAAAATATTGTCTGGGATGTGCTGCTTAATGTTAAGGAGTTCGTCTCTGGTAAAACTTATAGAAGAAGAATGACAAAACACAGAACAAACAAACAAAAACAATAGAAGAATCGCGGAGCTCAGCGTCCTGGCTGCCATTTGTGGCGCCATCATCGAGGGAATCAATAATGGAGTTTAGTTAGTGTTTTTATTTTTTTTATTTAGACAAAATAGTATTGAAGTTAAATATTTGCTATTTAATGATTATCAGCCATAAAATGAAAATATTACATTGGCTTATCAGTATTGGCCAGAACCCTAATTTGAATAAATCTGTATAAACTTGTATAAACTGAACATTCTTTGAAATTAAGCAATATTGACTTGTTGCCATTTTTCTTCAATAATGTGTTGATGGTCTGATTTTCGTTGTCATTAATGATCTGATTCTTTCGATGATCATAATCACTAATTATAAACTCAAGAAAAAAAGAATCATACCAAAACCTTTCCGTTTTATTTACATTTTCCCTCCATTCTGGCCATTGCAACAGGTTACCGTCATGACATTGCAGCAATTTGTGTCATTCTTCATTATATTTTAAAAATGACTCCTTTAGGGTTTGCTAATTTAAACAAATTGTATAATACCAGATGGTCTACACATACATGGTCTACAGACATTAAGGACCCTAGTATTCACCTTGCCAGTGGGATTTCTAAAAATAGATATGTGGTCTACACCATCCTTCAAACACTTATAAACACAATGGAAATATTAATGACCCTGGCCTTTCATCAATTCAGCTCAAAACAACTCATAAATTGGCCCTGTGAAGGCCCGATATCAGGCAGAGCCGGATCATTTCCATGTGTATAATCTGCAGTCACGACCCTATTCAGGGTTATGCAGTGACACATGCAAGCAGAGCGCCGCTCCTTTCCACTCTGATGCTCCAAGCACTTTACCAAACCACTTCATCAGAGCCTTTCAGGACCTTAAAGCCCTGTTTGTTTGTGTATGTGTGTGAGGATAATGCTGGAGTTGCATGTGAATGAGTGGATGGATGGCAAGCAGGTGGAGGACGAATCTGAACATTTTGCAAGACAGACCAGATTAACCCTTTAATGCCGTAACCAATGAAGATTCAGCATAACTCTTACTGGGGCAAATGGACCCTGCATGACACAGCTATGTGGGAGACGAGAATCAAAGTATTTTACATTGCCAGTGGAGGATGTGACAAATTTTGGGATGAAAACTCAATGTTAAATTGAACTAAATGTGTGTTAAAGTGAAAATCAGGTTAATTACAACAGCATAAAAGGGTTAAAAGTAAGGTTTTGAATATTTATTCTAATATTGATTCTTTACTTTATGATTGTGATTAATCTTAAAATATGATATTGGGCCACAATTTGATACAACTTGATTAGATCAGTGGTTATAGGCTTTTTTGACTCATAATAACTATAATATATAACTTTAATACATTATTAACAGAAACTTGGAGCATTGATACAGGCTAGTTAATTGAACTGAACTGTATGTTTTACAATAAAAACAATAAATATTGAGTTTTTTTTTAGAAAGTTAATTAATAATATAAATAATTAATATTAATTATAATGTAAACATTAGTTACTGTCACAATCATATGGACTCTGTTCCACCTTAGTTTGTTGTCATGGTTTCTGATTTGGGTTCATCATGTTCAGGTGTGTCTTCTTTATTATCCTTGTTTGGTCTGTATTTAAGTTACTGTCAGTTCAGTTTGAGTTTGTCGGGTCTCGTCAATGTTACGTGTGTCGCCAGCCTTCCCTCAGTTTGGAATTGCTTTCAGTGGATTTATTAAAGACTACTTATCTTCATCTTTGTCTTTGTGTGTGTTTATCAACACAGTTCCGTGACAGATACATTAATAATATATTAATTTATATAGTTAAAGTCATCCTGCTTGGGGTCTTGGAAGTTTGCTAAAGCCCCAAAAATATGCTGAAGACATAAATGCACCTGGAGATAAATCAATACATCAGGCTTTACATCAAATATGAATTTTGTAATAGAGATTAGGGTACATTTATTATTTATCCATAAAAAAAGGGTAATTTCAAATCAACCAACTAATACAAACTGATTTTAAGTAGAATTATAATAAATGTAAAAAAAGCCTATAATAATAATATAATATTTTCTTCAAATCAAGGCAGTCACAGTCCAAACAGTTCAAATGACTCTGCTAAATAGGATCTTTTTGATGAATGAACCGAAAAGACTCATGAATCAGTCTAACGAGCCGGTTAATAATTAACATTTGAATTAATGTCTGATTCACTCACTGCTCATCTTTGGTAATCTTTTGGACTTAAAAAAGGAACCAAAAGCTAGTACTTTATGATGGTGGTTCACAAATGTAATGAGAGACATCTCAGGAAATTAATGGGTCAGCTAGTGAAAAAAAAAATGTTGCTCTAAATCCTAAAAGAAGCCAAAAAGCTTACTATATGTCTACCGATAGACAAAATGTTAAACACCACATACAGATGATGCTTTTCGCACAGGAACTAAGCATTTTGGTCACGCAAACCTATACATACAGCACTGCCTGCAGTTTTCTTCTGAGCAACAGGCCTCTCATTTACCTCTTTTCATGAAACATGTAGATAAGAGGATACAGACTGTCAGGTTTTTTTGGGAGATGGAGAGGAGAGAGGGGGTCTGCGGTGCAGACAGTACTCACCGAGCTCGAAGGGCACTAATGGTAGACTTGTCAACCCTGCATTTGAAGAGAAAAGACAAGAAAGCATTTAGGATCAAGGAACAAACGTAGATGGCTGTAATTTGCTTGGTTCGACCCGTCAGCTGAACTGGCAGGACGAAAGGACATTTGTGTAATATATCATCCCTGTATGATTTTGTTGTCGACATGGCTAGGTGAGCTTAATGCCCAATTAATGCAGACATACAAGAAAGGTCACTCATCAGCACTGACTACCCACAATATCACATCAAAACATATTAGGGTTGACTCTGACTGTGTGGAAGGGTGTGGCCGTTTATTTTTACTCAGCTTGTTTTTGATATTTCACACATTTCTGTGTCACACACAGTTTCCTTTTATCAGCAGAGAGAAGTCATAGTATTATATCAGGACTTTTCATCTTTAAATAATTTTTTGATTCACAAAGACATTCTTTATCTCAATTTTTTTTTAATATAAATAAAATAATTTTCTCTTTACTTTTTTTTAACACAAATGATGCACTTACATTTATAGTGATGCACTTACATTGACCAATCTGTAAACTTTAACCTCACAAAATATTGTAATACTCACAATGTTTTAACAGTAAAACAGCAAGACATAAACAATATGTGTGTTAACATGATTTTAGTGTGAAGAAATTGTTTACTAATCTTTTCTGCTAAGTCATATCCAATGTTACAAGTGTTGAAGAATTGATTGATTTATAACTTTACATTTCTGCTTTTAAATGCTACAAAAAGATGAAATTACAGTATTTTGAATAGCCTACCTTTATGAAGCACTGTATTTACATAATTCAAAGAAAGAAAAAGAAAAATTTAAATATTTTGGGGACAATGCTTGAAAAATAAAACACAATAATAATAATAATACAATTATATTGTTTAATTATATTATTTTTTTTCCAGTGTTGTCCCCAAAGTGTCCCAGTGTTTAAGTCACTGATTTGGAAATTAGAGTTGAAATTACAACATTTTATTGTGTTGAACCTGGAATATAATAGATGTTATCTTTGACATTTCTAACCATGAGAGCGGTTATGTGCAGCAGTCCGTGAGGGCACTGCTGTCAACTCCCATTACGGTATGTAACTGCAGTTATTGTGTCCCATTTTTTAAAATCATACTAGACTGATTCCCTAAAACACACAACAACAAGGAATGGAACATCCTATTCAGTGAGACGATTTAGTGAGTGTTTGTTTGAAGATGCCACTTGGTTTGATATTTTGCAAAGAAACTCATACGTTTTAAAGGGGTCATCGGATGCCCATTTTCCACAAGTTGATATGATGGTCTTAATGAAAAGTCTATAACATAGTTTGATTAAAATTTCTCAATAGTAGTGTAAAAAACACCTTTTTTACAGTGTCAAAAACAGCTCTTTTCAGAGCAAGGCATCTGAGATCGGCTCGATTTGAGAAAGAGGTAAAGATTTTAGTAGATTAAATGATCAATATAGGGTGGTTGTGTACACACACTGCCAACACACATTTAAGTTCAAACAACTTGTAAAAGTGCATGTAGCATCCTATGACCCCTTTAAGGGAGAACTAAAGTGTCAAGTGTCCAAATATTAGCAGGAGACCGTGGAACCCAATCAACCTACATATTGCCCCCAGGGCAGCACCTACGGAGTTCAAATGTACATGCAATATGGAAAAAAAGAGACATTTCCAGCTGCTGCACATGCCTTAGAGCATCAAACTCAGATATGTTATAAATGGATGTCCAAGTGAGGACTGAATTAAAATGTATCACAGATGGAAAACACACAGTTGCATGAGCATGGTGTCTTTCTGGTGCTGTGAACCAGAGCAGACAATCCATAATCTCACTGTCCACCACAGTGAGGGAGCTTTCAGAGCTTAATAGTGTAAAAATCAGATTAAATGTGGTGTAAGTGTACCTCACACACAGGGTACTCGGTATGAAGTCAGCATCTCATATGATTGATTTGTTTGTGTGTGTGTGTGTGTGACAATCTGTATGTGTGAGGTGACTGTTGAGGTGTCACTATTAAAAGCATGGTGTGATGGTGACTGGGTGTGGTGGGGATGTGGGTAATTCTGAGAGAGGAAGGGTGTGGATATGTGTGTGTGTTTGTGTGTACATGAGATAGAATTTCCCACAGCAAAAAGCTGACACAGGCCCCCATATGCAGTTCTTATTTGTTTGCAATATTAAGTACAGAATTAGTACAGTATATGAAATATATTCTTTTACAAATAATAGGGGGCGGCACAGTGGTAACACTAGCACCTCTTTTTATGCAAATTTTGGGTTATGCTGGATGGAAACACCAAGATGCACTTAAATTCTAAAAATGCACATAAAAATCTTTTGCGCTCAACTTAGTCTGATTTGTTTATCTGATAAGAAGACATGCACATTAACCATGATTGAAACACATTCACCGAATAAATTCCTTGATTCGCAACAATAAAACTCACGTGACTTTGCCTCAACAGATCATGTGACTGGATAACTGGACTAACCAGCAGATCAATCTCATCACACATCTCAAATTTTATTTCAATCAATAGGTGCGTTCGACTTCATGCAGCACTGCGCAGATCGATCGCAATCTGACTTGAAGCAATGCATGCCGGTTAATAATTTGACTCAGCCGGCGCAGTTTCTCCAGAGCGGCTGCAGGAGCGTTGATGACGACACAGCCGTTTCACGATTGGCCAGATTCACCGCATGACAACTATCCCGTGTGTTTCGGGTTTATTCTAACCTTTTCAATTCCAATAATAGCCACAAATCTGTGTTTTTAGAACAGTAAA